GCAGATCGAGGGACATGATCATTCCCCTCTATTCGACATTGGTGAGGCCTCATCTGGAGTACTGTGTCCAGTTTTGGGCCCCACACTACAAGAAGGATGTGGAAAAATTGGAAAGAGTCCAGCGGAGGGCAACAAAAATGATTAGGGGGCTGGAGCACATGACTTATGAGGAGAGGCTGAGGGAATTGGGATTGTTTAGTCTGCAAAAGAGAAGAAGATGAGGGGGATTTGATAGCTGCTTTGAACTACCTGAAAGAGGGTTCCAAAGAGGATGGATCTAGACTGTTCTCAGTGGTACCAGATGACAGAACAAGGAGTAATGGTCTCAAGTTGCAATGGGGGAATTTTAGGTTGGATATTAGGAAAAACCTTTTCACTAGGAGGGTGGTGAAGCACTGGAATGGGTTACCTAGGGAGATGGTGGAATCTCCTTCCTTAGAGGTTTTTAAGGTCAGGCTTGACGAAGCCCTGGCTGGGATGATTTAGTTGGGAATTGGTCCTGCTTTGAGCAGGGGGGTGGACTAGATGACCTCCTGAGGTCCCTTCCAACCCTGATATTCTATGTTTCTATGAAATAGGCACCAATAGAACTTCAACATCATTGTGCTTTGTGTATAATATGCATATAATCGGAGGTAAAATAAACAGACCCCAGAGCAAATAGATAAGACTGTTTTATGCAAGGATTGAAATAAAATTAAAAGGGTTCAAAGAATGAAATGGAATAGATCAATGGGGAAAGATGAATAACATTAGAAAATGGGATTAAGCATGCTTTTTAAAAATGTGTATTATAGTAATGCATTTGAAGGAATTGAAAGGTTATGGTAAGGCAAAATGGAATAGACCTGTATGGGGACTCTTAATACAATGGCCCCGATCTGCAAAGATACTTAGGTGCCTAAACCCCAGATTTAGACTTCTTTGCAATCCTGAAAACCCCCCACTTGGCTGCTATCCAGCCCTGTAGGAACCTGAACTCACTCAGTGCTAAATTTCCACTAAAAGTTCCCTAGGCATGTAAGTATCTGCCTCTGAGCATGCACACTGCTGCCTCACTCTAGGCATCTGGATTCCTCTCTCCCACCTAAGCCTTATTGTTATCCATGAGCCAGGGCAAGATAGGCGGAGAAGTGCCTGTTTTGTCTTTGGGGCCTGATGTGATCGGCATGCTCAGAGGTTCAGCATTGCAATGCCTAGCTCCCTTTGAGGATCTGGGCCCAACTCTCTTTTCAGGATTCTATTTCTAGTTTTCCCACTGACTTGCTGTATGAATTGAGCCAAGTCATTTAATTTTGCTGTGCCTCCATTTGTTCACCTATAAAAAGGATCGTAATTGTTATTTACCCCATGGGTTTTACAGGGATGGATTAATATTTGAAAATTCTTTGAGATCCTTACGTTACGGGCACTACAGATGAGTCAAGTAATATTCATAGGCGCCCACTCCGTGGGTGCTCCAGGGCTGCAGCACCCACGGGGAAAAATTAGTGGGTGCTCTGCACCTACTGCCAGCCAAACTCCCCTCACTCCCCACTTCCTCTTCCTCCTCCTCCTCCCCTGAGCGCGTCGCATCCCCACTCCTCCGCCTACCTCCCAGCGCTTCCCGCCATCAAACAACTGTTTGGCGGTGTTAGCAGGGAGGAGGAGGAGCGGGAATGTGGCGCACTCGGGAGGAGGTGGGGAAGAGG